GAGGAAAATGTAAGGAAGAAAAGGGAGGGATGCATCACCGCCTTCAACTCTACTGGTCCAGATTTACAACGCTGTTGAAAAGGTGCTCCAAGATCTGCTTCAAGCACATCTTGATTGGTTCTGTAGAATTAGCTTTAAAATATAACCACCCCCACATAGGAAAGATGTGGTCTGCACTATGCAGGTGCCCCAGTTTTATCAGTCACTGCCCAGATTTCCACAATCATGAAACTAGAAGAGTACTTGGCAAATGCAAAGTATAGGTCCATGTAGCCCCTAAGATTGCCTATCATCCATTAAAGTTACGAGCTGCAGGGACAGGAGCGTCAAGTGTATGCATCACTCCACCAAGAGTGTGTGACAGGGGTTAGAGCACTGGGACACTGGAGATCTGGTTGTCTGTACTGCCTCTCATCTGCTCTTATCTTAGGCAAGTCTCTCCACCTTTCTGTACCTGCAAAGTAGCAATACTAATAACACATACTTCTTTTGTAAAGCATTAACATCTGCTAAAGCAATGAAAATATCTTCATTCATATTAATAATAATAATTGATGGCGCCCATCTGGAAGCAAAAAAAGTGCAGGAACAGAACAGAAAGTATTTAGCTGGAAATATAGCAGTCAGGAGAAGTGTCTGTGTCATGTGTTGTAAATATGGAAAATGGAATACAAAAGGCCCATTTAATTCACATGAGATTCTCGATCCCTCATGTACCACGTTTGGTGCTGATTTATTTGAATTAAGATGGCAAGAAAACCTCCTCTTGCTGTTTTTTGTTGGATTTTTAGTTTAGTTTTCTTTTGTTTTTAATCAAGCTCTTGCTCAAGCCATGTGAGTAAGAATTCAGTAACACATTGTAAATCACAGTTTGCAAGTTCTGTGACTGCAGATGAGATAGTAAAAGATAATGTTGTATAATTCACATGTGGCTTGTTCGTCATTCAGGCACCACATGTCAGATTCTCCCTACGCACAGCTGAATGTGTGAGCAGAAAAGTTGGTTGAGATTGCAAAGAACATAATTTTAAAGTCCTGGTGATTAAAATCCTATGGTTATTGCTGAAACAATGCAGAATCTTTTGAGTACAAGCCTAAACCCTTTTTTTAACCATCTTTGAGTCAAAGTCAATTTACTATGAAACTGTTTCAAAAGAGGAGCTGACAAAAAGAAAAAAGAAAAAAAAAAAAACCCCACAGAACAGAAGGAATATGCAGTCAGCAATACAAAATTTTCCAAGTAAATGGTAGAGAAAATTATGTTTCAAAATGGAATTTTCTGACATCCCATCATGATAACAAAAGATTTCTCAATGCTCTGCATCCCAGTTAAACATCCCAGTTAAACTTTTTCAACAACGTAACATTATTCTCAAGGTATCAGGGATGTAATTTACTACAGTTGCTCAGACAAGGTCTATAGCAGAGCTGTTGTCCTAACCCACTTCCTAGTTTTTGGAGAGAAATAGGTGAATTGCAGTCCAAAAGTACAATTTCTCTGTGTTGTCCCTAACGAAAGTCTCAGTTCCAGTGCCTACAGTATAGATGTAACTCACGGCACTCATGTATATAGCATTCAATAAAATGAGGCCCCAAATTGTCTGACATTTGACTCCTGTCATAATGTAAAGACTAAATACTGTTTTATAGTTGTATAGGTGCCTACATGCTGCGCAGTGCTGTGCAGCTATAAAGGACTGGTTTCTTATTCCTGAAGATACCTGACCTCCTCATATGGCTCCATTCATGTTACCTACCCAATGACTCAACACAAATGTGTATTTACCTAAAAGCCTAAACAGGCCACCACCGACGGAAGAGTCATGGGGTTGTAAAAAACGTGTCAGTCAGATGTCCCTTCAGACACCCTTCAGATGGATACACAACAGAACAAGGAATGATCAACCTTTTTGGTTGAAGACATCCATGCCAATGTTTACGTGAGATATCTCCAGCTGAGTTTTGTACTGGTAGGATGTATTGCTATGTTGTCAGCAGCCAGCCAGCTTTATATGAAGTTAATTTTCAGCTTGATCTCATATCCAAAAAAAAAAAAAAAGAGCTAATGCAATCTGAACAAGCATGTTTTTGACTATGAGCAAATGTCTCCCACCCCTGCTCCCTAACTAATGAATTTGAAACCTTTGGCAAAAATCAGAAAAAACTTGACCCTGTAAATATTTTGTGGAAATGGGCATCCAGATAAAGGAGAGATGCCCATCAGGGGGTCTAACTGAAGGAAGACTGTTATGTGGGTTCACAGCTTAGCATATCAGAGAACTTAGAAATGCTCCACACTGCAGTCAGTCAGAGTTCACCTTGTCTTGGACATCAAAATCACACGCTTTTAAAGGGAGATGAAATCACTGCTGCAATATTATTCACCTCTTAACTCTGAATTCCACGGGGTGAATACTCCTAAGCCACAGAAGCGGTCACTAGTAACAGCCTGCAAACATTTGCTTTTGGCCCAGAATGTGTAGCAATAGTGTTAACATTATGAGTAAGTTAAAGACGAAGAAGCTCTGACCCCTAATGTTACATTAATTCCGTACAGACCTGCTTCTGTTTTTCTGGTTTTTAGCCCTTTAAACTTTCCAGTTGTTAAGGATGCAGAAAGTTTAAACAACTTTAAAAAGGACAGAGCTCTCATGTCCTAAACAATAATGGAATGGTCTTCATAACTATAGAAATAGGTATAGCTATATACATGGGTATATATTTAATATAATTACATCCACATTATATTTTTTATATATGTGTGTGTATATATTATGTATAAATATATAAAAAATAACAGGTATTTGATAGGACCTAGCAAAAGAACAAAAAGCCCTGTATTAAGTACTACTGGAGAAAGGCTTACCTGAACAATTTTACACGAAAACACACATATATACACTTATCCAGAGCATGCGGAGGGTGTGGTGCCACTATCCTTCCTTTCAAACAGAGGACAGTTAGAGGTTGATGGAG